ATTATAATTATCAGCAACGCTGATACATCTTCCCGAAATCTAGAATCTTTTATTTAATATTACAAACTAGCTGTTCCCATACGGCTTCATCCGCATGAAATTATGAAAATTTTATTTTATTATTTACATTAGTCATGACAAACCATAGCAATCTTGCTTCCTTGATGTTGGCAGCAACTTATGGTCTCTTTCCCACATTAGGGTTTTTATCCAAAATATTTACCCCCTAAGTTTAATGGCGTGACAATATATAGCCTAAAGCGTGACGTAAGTGTAGGGCTTTTTAGTAAAAAGGAATTATTCAAAAATATGCTGTAATTGCTGACATCTTAGGCAACAAAGAAGTGTGTGTTTACGCTTTATTATAATAGTATAGATATACTCCAATTTTATTATATGTATACATAATTTTCCATATTAAATGTTATTTATACTCAACATCAAAACAGTACATTTTATAAATTCCAGTTCTCTTTATTAAAACTAATACAAAACATGCAAACTGTTAGCTAATAAGACAAATATGCATAATGAACATAGAAATAGATCTCTTTCGCTTGTTTTCGCGTGACCCAGCTTTTTCCGTGCCATCTCTAACCTAGATAGAAAACGGAGACAAAACACGTATACTCATGTAGAAAAGTTTCACAAAATGAACGCTACTAAAAGAAAACATCCATTAGACAAGGTAACAGAAAAGGGTTATAACTATTTGTAAGGAAAGTGGTATTTTTATGTAGAAAGCTTTATTTTAATATTACATTTTTCTAGCACTTACAACCTAAAAGGTAAACAAAATGTATCTAAATGCAATATTTATCTTCTTACTATCTTTTAGGGCTTGTTTACAATAATGTCACACATAAATGTATTTATATCTATACTGTTAGGAACAAAATTAGTACCGTGCTATAGAATTGGCGCAACTCTAGATTATCTGCATAAACGTCACGTCCCTAGCTGACAGCTGTCAATGTCACTAGAAGTATGGATAGATTGGCGCGCAACCTGAGTCTTTAAAGCGACAATATCAATTAAACAAGTTGTCTAAAAATACATATAATTAAATTGGAGTGTCTGTTTGTAATATCAAAAGAAAAACTCCAGATTTCGCATATAAAAACTTGTCTGTCTGTCCTCAAGCCGCGTTTGTTCCGGGTAATCTCAGAAACGGCTGGGCCTATTTCGACGGGACTTTCGCTGGAGGGTAGCTGACAGGAATAGGCATATTATGGGCTACTTTTTTTTTTAATTCCGTGCTGTTGAAATGGCGTAACGGGTGGTGCATATTTGACCTAACGAAGTTTGCGGGCGACAGCTCGTGGATAATAAAAGTGCCTCTTAGTGTAGTTTTATTAAAATATAAGTGATTACTGGAGTAATAAACAATAACTTGTCAATTTTAACTAACATAAACTTAAAAAAAGAAACATTTATAATTTATACGTTAAATAAAAAAGAACATCTCTGTAAAAATACGAAGACAATATCAAATATGCGAAATAAATCACTCTTTTGTCAAAAATAACGTTAAAACGCAATCAACCGTTAACAGTTATAACATAACCGTTAAAAACAATTTTTATTCCACGCATCAGATGTTATCCCATCATCAGTACAGTCAAGTTCAGAAGAATATAACTCGTATAATGTTCCCGGAGTTTTTATTATAACTGGTACTGTTGTTGGTACAGCACTTATCTTGTTGAATGTACTTTTGGTGGGATTCTGTCTGCATAGGAGGACGAACAAACGAATCAGAGGTTTGATATTGTAATAATATTGTGTAAAGGCCTAATACTGGAACGAAAATTAAATACTTCGTAAACGTCGTTTAGAGCGGACGCACGCTTTTGACTAAACTATAGCACAACTATTGTCGATTGTTTCGCAACATTCAACTGTTTGGTTCCACAACTAAAAATCGAGAAAAAAAAACAAAGTCGAATCAACGCGAAACTAAACAGTTGTGCGAGTTTGAGGTGTGCGCACGCTCTTAGAATATACGTCATTTGTAAGGAATTTGGTGTTTAAATTTAACCTTATTATAAAAACTGTTACATGTTTAAATTTCGTTTCAGTAATCGGTCGTAAATGTGCTAATTCAATTTAACTACTTGATAGTTTTTTTTTTAAATTCCGTGTATTAAAATTAAATTGGCACATAATTGATGTTGTTTTTATATTATCCTAATTTTTTCTTTTATTTCTTTCGTATAGCTTCGTCAGAAGTAGGAGAATTGAACGTAGTGTCAACAGAATACGTAGAGTCATCTGACGTGACGAAATCCGTCACATTGTACGTTTGCGTCACCGGCGCCATTTTGATTTTGATTAACGCCGCTTTAGTAGCATGTTTTGTTTTTAAACGACGAGCTAGACGGATGAAAGGTGAGGTTTATTGTTTTGTTTCTTTTATGGTTTTGTTTCTATTGTAAAGCATGTTTCTACATTTTTTGTTTAATGTCATTTTTCATATAAATGTACTAACTTCTGACAAAGTTTAGATGGAATTCAATTACAAGCTTGTTAAATAATTTTAGTTTAATTTCATAAAGAAATAGGTTATATTTATATTTTTTAGTCAATGATATTCAGAAGTTGGTTCACATAAAGAAAAAGTATTAAAATTATATACTAGAGAACGCCTAAAATAATTTTATAGTAGAATCCATCTTTAAGCAACAAAACAGAAATGGTAGTTTCACTTTTGTTATTTTAGGCTTTCTGTAGACGATAACAACAGTAAAGAAGTATTTCTTTACAATAAAATTTTAATTAAATTTACAGACTAATTGTCAATAGTAAATCTAAGAGCCAATTTATAAAGAAATACTTCTAAAACAAAAAATATACCAACCTAACAACTGACCTTGTCACCACAGAACAAGCGGGACAATCATCAAAATCAGCAACAATAGAAATGTATGCACCCTCATCTTATAACGACACTATGACTGGAGAGACATTGAGTTCTGTGTCGGAGAAATCAGAGACATACTCACAAGATGACGGGGAACAACCGCCGCCGATACCTGAAGTACCGACAATGCCGAACCGACATATGTTGAATCAGGTCAGTGACATGAATTAAATAATTACACATTCAATCGTTAATTGGATCGCTAGTTTCAATTATTGTCAACTATTGCTAAAATTGTTGTCAATGATTGCTAACTACTATTAACTTTTTCCAACTATTGCTAAAACTATTGTCAATGATTGCTAACTATTGTCAACTATTGCTAAAATTATTGTCAATGATTGCCTAACTATTGTCAACTATTGCTAAAACTATTGTCAATAATTGCTAACTATTGTCAACTATTGTCAATGATTGCTAACGATTGTCATCTATTGCCACCAGACGGAGTCATACCTAGTGGAGGACACAACCCTTTTGCCGCCGCCATT